CCAAGGAGCTCAACTGCTCCAAAATGACTGTGGCTTGGTTAATTTATTTTTTCTTCCCCTACAAGCAGCATTTCTCCTCCTACAGGTGCTGAGGTGGCATCTCTCTGTAAAATAAAAGGCTTCTGGCCGGTTAGACATGACCTCTCTTGCATTGCTGAGGCACAATGAAAAACCTTGAGCTGAACAAGGTTTTGAGACCAAAGATTCCCAAAGTCTGATGCCAGAGAGTTTACACAAAGAGTTCTGCATGCCACAACACTCTTCCCTGACTCACTGAAAATCCTTATTAAGAAATAAGGATTCAACTGTGTTAGGCTTCTTGACGATTTACTCCTTGCCCACATACATAAGCAGTTTCAAATAAGTAAGGAAAAAAAAAAATAAAGCACATGTAAGGCAGCCAGCCCAACTGGAAAGATTCCCTCCCTTTTGCAAAAAGAGAAATAAAAACCAAAAACAACCAGAAGAGATAGTTATGACATTTTCAGCTCTGTTTTGGAAGAGCTGCAACATGTAAGATGTGATTAGAAATCAAATTCACAGCTGCCAAGCAGCCAGCTGCAGTTTGCCCTATTAGGAAATAAAATAACCATATTTGCAGTAATTAAGACTGATGAGACCAAGTAATGACTGTGAGTATCATAACTGCTCCCTATAAAAGTCCTGACTAATCTGCAGGAACGGGTAGCCTACAGCCACCCTCCTCTGCACAGCAATAGTGAGAGCAGGAATTAAGACAATGAGGATGGTATCACCTCAAAACAGATCCCTCAGGAGACTAAAGCCCTGCCATCTCCTAGGTCCCACGCACAACTAGTTCTCTTTTCTCCAAAGGGGCCTGGAACAGTATGATTTCAAGACTTTTAGTTACATAATGCAGTAAATTGCTGCACTTTTGAAAGCTCAGATTGGCAGGACTCCAGCACAGAAAGACAGAGGCTCACATTTATAGAGCACTGCAAATGCCCCAAAGTATTTCTGGGGCAAAGCCTTTATAGTGGTTCACACCACTCCTTTCTGGGGTCAAAGGAAGAGGGACATTCGCCCATCCAAGCAGAGGCCCTGCCCAGGCACAACACACCTCTGCCTCTACTCATACATCTCTCCAACTCAAGGCTCCCTACAGTGGGTATGCACTCAGTGGCATCTGCTGCTCTTTGAGCTCACAAAGCCTTTCCCCTGGAGCAGGGCTCTCAGAGTACCTGGGAACTGGAGCAGGGCAGGCAGCGAGCCTCAACTCTCGCTCCATGGAGCGGGACAAGCTGAGAGACCCGTATCTTTCTCCCACAACCTACCATCAGCCTAGTGCCCACACAGATTTGTGCTGCAGCCAGCAGAGGCTCATCTGGCATCTTAGCAGGTGTGAAATCCACAGTGGCTCATCCCAGCCCTGCTGTCTTTGCTTCCTCTTCTTCCCCAGCTTCTGAGACGGACATAGCATTGCCCAGAGAAGGATCTCCACAGCAAAAAGATGTCCAGGGATGTCCCAGCTATCCAATGGCCATTTGGGCACCTTGTGCCCTTGTAAGCTGGACCCAGCCTCTGGTCTGGCAATGCCAGCAGTGAAACACCTAGGCTAGGCAGGATGGGCACAAAGTTGCCCCTTGCCAGCAGCAGAGATTGCACTCCCTGAGACACCTCTTCCCTCAAACCCCCAGCAGAAAGGGGGATGCTGTTCCCCTCATTCCCATCAACCCAGCCCAAAGAATTAGCAACATCCATCCCCCCCAAGCCCAGCTCACCACAAGAAGCTCTTCCAGTGCTCAGCACAGGGTCATAAACATCCATGGGACATTTGCCCAACATGGGGAGCTGGCAGGACCCCAGAATCTCTCCTTCTGATACCTGAAAGTAAAGTGAGATCTCTTGCTGGGGAAATGAAGGGGCTGGCAATCACCAGCTGTTCACAGCAAAGAACACTCTATAGCTTCAAGTCTGGCCTTTTTCTAGCCTGAAGTGAGATGAAATAGAGATTGTCAGGAGTTGAGACACCACTTGCACCAGTTTTAAGCAGGTTTAGAGCATTATGCATAGAGCTCTAATTCTAGCAGGCACATACAGCCAGGGTTTAACCTGGCAGCACATGGCCTACGTGACTCCCCAGCACTTCCAAGGGCTCTGCACCAGGACAATAGTCAATTGAGGTCCTGCTCAGCCCCAGCCTTTGCTGCCAGGGTGAGCCAAGGTCAGCAGCACAGGCAGGGCTCACTCAAGGCCAGCGGCCCGCACAGGCAAGCTCAAGGTTTTGGCCAGAAGCAGCTCAGCCCACTCAGTGCCTCTTCCCACCAGGAATGGCCAACGCACTCCCAGACATGCCCCGGTCTGCCGGCCCGGTGAGCCAACACCGGCACGCAGACAGACAGACGCCATGGGGCACAGCATTGGCAGCTACCCTCCTCCAGCTCCCCCACTGCAGCACAAGCCTCAGCCCGCAGAGGCACACATCATCCTGCTCACCCCACCGGGCACAACCGCGGTCTTTCCCTGGACACGCACAATTGATCTCTCTGGTGGACACAGCTCCTCAGCCCCCAAAACGCTCCCAGCATGGCACAGGACAAGAAAGGCTGCAAGCTGCCCTGCAAAGTGAGATGCTGGGATAGTTTGTTGGCAGCTTTGAGGGCAGCCAACCAACCGATGAGTAGCTATTTGTGTCCACCAGAGAAGCTCCCATCTGGGGCAGCTTGCCTGGTTGTTAGCATCAGGAATGCTCAATAAGGACCGACTATCTTACTGGTGTGAGAAAGCATGAAGTCAAGCTTAAGCAAGCTACCAACAAGTCCAAGGGAGAAAGCCTGGCTTATTTCTACACCAGAGCCTGGCTGTGGTCATGGCTCTTCTAGAGCCCGCTAACCCAAAACCCTGCAACCAGAGGGGTTTACAGACCAGTTAAAAGAATATTACGTGAAGCAAGCAGCTCTTGCATGTAGTCTGGGCTCACATCAGCTTCAGCCCCTAGCACAGCACCTAGAGTCCCCTCTCTAACTGCCCCCCCATCCCTAGGGAAAGGGATTCTCACGGCACCAGCTGCCAGCCAAGCCCCTGTCTCAGAAGGGGACAGGGGGTGCTCAAGCCCCTGCACAGGGTTTCCCAGTTCCCTGAGCACAAGTTGTGCTCTGCCAGGACACAGAGTTGATCCTCCCTGCACTAGCAGTGCTCAGGAACGCTCCCAGGACACCCTGTGCCCGCCCAGAAATCCTCAGAATGAGAAAAATGTAGTATGGAATAGCATCAGCATTCTTTCATTAGAGACCCGCAATGCCAGCCAGAGACAGCTCCGGGTGTCTTGGCAAAGCAGGGGGCTGCAAAATCACAAAAACTCACAGCGGTTACCATCAAACTGTCCCTTCCCTAAGAGCAGGAGTCTGAATTTTGATCCCAGCCACTGCCACATTATTGGTACCTTCAAGCCCTCAAACCACAGATGAGTAAGCACCAGGACGGAGGTGGGACATGCACACCAAGGACTCAAAAGCACAAAGGTGGAGGTGGAAGTCACACCAAGGACCCAGGAGTACACGAATGGAAGTGGGACACTCACACCACGAACCCAGCCCTCAAACCAGGACCAAGGCAGCACTGGGATGGAGGCAGGAGAGGAGGTCACACCTGAGGGCCCGGTAGCACTCCGGTGATTGCAGTAATTAACTACAGCCCCCACGTGAATTTTCCCTAGCTACAAAACTACTCTGCAGCGGCTCTAAGGACACAGTGAGTCATACCGATACTACTAGTGAGAGGCTCCCACCTCCTTAAGGGTCTGTTATAGGCTGATTCCAGAGGAGGAAATGGGAAAAGCCATAAAAGTGCAACAGTAGATTTGTACTACAGGGCTTAATGAGATGCACCTCCCAAGCCTACGTGCAGCTTTTCAACTCCTCATAAAGGAGATCTAAAATGACAGCATTAAAGTCACTGGGTATTTTCCACCTTAGCTGCCAGATAAATCAGGCCAACTGTGCCAAATAGGAGCCAAGCGAAAGCACACGCGACCATTCACACCTTTTCCAGGTGACACCTCCTGCAAGGGAACAATGTTTCACACCTTCCCAAGGAGCTAGGACAGCCACAGGCACCCCCACCGAGAGATTTGCCATAAACTAGCAGAACTTTTTCCTAGTTGGGAGGTGCTTCACCCCAGCGGTTCATCTAAGACCAAGGAAGTTCCTTCCCAACAAAGGCACTAGCAGGAGCTTGGGGGAGTTTCCTTACACCCAGCACACCCCCAGCTGCTCCCTGCCCTGGCCCATTTATCAGCACTGCTCCTTTCCTCCCAGACACAGCCAAGGAAACCTCAGCGCAAAGACACCCAGGAGAATCCAGCAGCGCTAAACTACCTCACTTAGCATGAAAATGGGATGCCTGTGCACCACAAAAAGACTTAAGGCTCACAGAAAGGCACAAAACCAGAATTATACCTGCTCCCTTGGGATGCAGGTAAGAAAACCCACCTTCTTCCTCAGAAAAAGCTTGAAGCTGGAGAACAGGAATAACCCTTGTGCAAAAGGTCCACACTTAAGGGGCAGGGTGTGAGCACTCAGGTCATTTACTGTTTCAGGACACAAATTCCACCTCTCCTGCCAAAGATACAATTCCAAATTTCCTTATGATCCTCCTGTTCACACTCATCCCCTTTGCCTGAGTCAGCTTTCAAACCCTCCGGCACTGTTCACTTTCATGATGCATTTGTGCACCCTTCAGTTGCAGGACTCCTGCCTGACCTGCAACACCCACCCTGGCTGAAGCATTCCAGCAGCATGTATGGAGCCCAGCCCCGCTAAGCTCCCCAAGCATCTCACCCTGGGGCCAACAGGCTTCAACCAGAGCAGACCCCAGGACCAGAGCCAGTAGGTGTTGGTTCTAGGTGTGTTCTGACAGCCCCTTGCTGCCCAGCGAGTGTAGGCTACCAGCAGCCAGCACTGAGTTCTAGCAGCCCCAGCTTTCAGCTGCTGGCCATCGCAGTGCCTGGCCAGCTGAGTGATTCCCACGCCAGAGGGGGGATGCATGCCCCAAACACTTATGGGGCCATCAAGACCATACTACCACCTCCTCCTTGTGAGCAAGGCAGAAACAAGCGCTAAAGGCACCTTTCCTGGAGCTGGAGCACGGTTCTGCAGTCTATCCTGCACAGCCAGCAGGGGAACACGGGGCTGAAGGATTCGGGTGACTCACCCACCTGAGCAGCCTCAAAGGCCCGAGGTCCAGCTCTGAGCACCTGCCAAGAGTCACCTGAAGGCCAATAAGCGGCACTGCGATGCAGAGCTCAACCAGACGCTGAGGGCTGCAGGAGTGCTCCCCATGGGAGCGTGTACCCCAATACCACAGACCCACTCCGAGGACATGGCTCCCACGAAGCTTCCAGGCCCTCCCTGCCTTTATCAAAGGCCAAACACACACAGTGATCACCTCCTCCCTGCGCCCCAGAGTTTATCAAGCACCCTCAAATGGTGCGGAGATTCCCCCACGCAGCCCCACAAACACGGTGGGGGAGCAGCCTGAGGGGCCGGGCAGGGGAAAGGAGGAGCTCCCCAGGACAGGGAACCCCACCTCGGGGCAACTGGGCTACCCGGGCCGCCTGAGGCCACCACCATCCATCCTCACCGTTCGCCGGGATGAGGAGGCCGGGGAAACCCCACGCCAGGGTGCTACTGCCGGTGAGAGAGAGAAGGGGGCGGTCAGGGCAGGGTGCTGAGGGATCCTCACCACGCGGCCATACCAGAGCGGGAACAAAACATGGCTCCCCCCTCAGCCCGGGCGCGGGGGAGACCCAAGCGGCGGATCCAACACAACCAGCAACGCCGGTGCGGAACCAACTGGCCACCGAACGGACGGGCTGCACGCCCGGCCACAGGGGCGGCCCCCCGCCCCAGGAACGGCCCAGGACCATCACCGGCTCCAGGACCTCGCAGCCGGGCCGGGAGCGGCGGCCGCGGGGAGCGCAGAGCCGCCAGAGCGCATGGGGCTCCCGGAGCCGGGCCTGACCCGGGGCCTGACCCCGAGCCCCCCCAGCTCCTCGCTCGCCCGTCCCGCCGCGCCACGTGGGCCGCCCGCGCCCTACCTGCGGTGCCGCCGCCGCCGCCGAGTGCGGCCGCCCCCGCCCTAACGGGCCCCGCTGGCGGCGGGATGGGCTTTGGGGCCGAGTGTGCTGGGAGGCCGGCCCGGATGACACTGCCCGGCGCAGCGGCAGCGCGGGACTTTCCTGAACTTGTCCCACGGGTGGCTCGGCGCAGGAGTTCCACTCGCTAGGCAGGAACAGAGAATCCCCTTGCCCCTCACTGCCGCGCCCTCATCCCTCCCGGGGGTCCTGGACACGCTCCCGGCAGTCCTGGCCCCGCACACGGGGATCCTGGCCCGGCTCCTGGGGGCCCTGACCCCACTCCTGGGATCCTGGCCCCAATCCTAGCAGACCTGGCCCTGCTCCTGGTGGTCCCGGACCCCTTCAGGTGCAGGGTGCTGCACAGTGTCTGTATTAAGACACAACAGCCCCTAAAAAGCCATTAACATTAAAATACACTGCCTGATGGTTGTGCTTTTGTGTTCATCACAACATTTCTTAGCGTTGGCAGCCCTCCCTCGCAGCTGTGCTCCCATGAAGGTAAGGACACACTGCTAGGGGGGCATTTGTGGTGGATCAGTTATTTCAGCTGGGCCTATGTACCCAGAGATGTGAAGGAGCACTCACAGTTTGGTCCTGCAGGATGGAACAGTCCCAGGCTCTGCATGCCAAACGGTGCGTGGGAGAAATGCGTGGGAGAGGTCCTTGCTGGCAGCACGTTCCCATCCCAAGCAGAGCTCCTCATCTCTGGATGCAAGCCAGCCTGTGGCAGCCGTGCATCCCGTGTTCTTCGCTCCCTGCATGTCCCAAGTCCTGCCCAAAGGGACTGTTACCTGGACATGTTTTTCTCTGGCTGCTGTCTCCCAAAGCCTAATGATGCTACTTCTGGGTCGCATGTGTAATGCTCTGATTTGTTTCACAGCCAAAAGAAGAGTGGTGTAGTCCAACTGTGAGTCAAGGAAGGGAAAGAAAGGAATAAACAGTGACGCTCCACAGATGGAGACATAGCAGCTGTGGGGAGGTACCAGCTCCTCCATTTCAAAGGAACCACTGCTCCTCCATCACAGCAAGCATGGTCACAGGCGTACTCTGAGCGTGTTGAGGCACTGAATAGACCAGGTGCACTCGGTAAAAGGCCAGGGACTACAACCAACTCTTTCACCCACTTCTGAGGTGAGACACCATAACCCAAAGAGTGAGTGGGTGGGAGGATCTCTTGATCCATCTGTTCTTGTGTGACTGAGCAGGGAGAGGCCTGTGCTCTGTTTTGCTTAAACAACAAGATAAATAACAATTCAAAGGGGCAATTTTGGATCAAACTCAAAGTGCCACTTGGCTATGCTGTTAAGATACTACCTAGGCTCAAGTGCTCTGCTCTGCTGGGGATGAGCAGTGGGAAGTGCTGTGGTGAATCCCAGGTGGGACATGGTCTTCCAGTTTCCTTTGAGAAGACCCAGTGCTGCTGGGATGAATGAAGCCAGAGAGCATGTCCTTCATCTGGCACTGATGTGCAATGCCCTAGTGTGTGGGTTTTAGAGCAATGTGCAAAACAAGAGGCCAGGGATGGCAGAGCTCAAACGAACAGGGAGCTGCCAGAACAGTGATGGACTGGAAGGGCAGGTGAGAAGCTGCAGGACATCTCTGGTGTTCCTGTTTCTGCTGTTCCTGCTGCTTTTCCATCTTACTGAAAATGGGAAGGAGTCTTTCCTGTTCTGTGTTGCTGCATTTTTGTCTCCTTTAAAAGACGGATTTAATAATAATCCTATTAGGAATTTTTTTCTTGTGAGGAAAACAGGATATTGTTTCAGGATATTGAGCAACAAAGCTGTCCTTGAAAAGCAACACTAAGCAACCTCGCAGTCCTGTTTCTGACTGCATTTCTGGTGGACACTAATCAAGTTCAGCATCCGGGACAGCCAAACCATTTCATTTCCAGAATGTGAGAGAGGCCTCAGCACAGCAGTACAAATTCAGGTTTTCTGTGTTCCACTGTAAACATTAAGGACCTCTAGTAATCTCAAAACATAATCATTAGTTCTGATTTCTCTTGCAATTAATGTCTGTAGCAGATGTAGAAGTCTAGTCCTCATCGGCCATGAATACGCATGTCCTGCTTGATAAGAGAAGTAACAACGTGAGTCCAAATCCAGGAATTCTTGGAAATCTCTTCGGAAAGTCTGTTCCATTGAGATATCCATCCTAATTTCCTGACTAGGCTTTGGAAAACGGTTTTCTGAGCTTTTGGATTGACATTTCACTTCAACTGGGTTTCCAGGCTCTGAGTTTACCCCATGACAATGGAAGCAGAAGAGAAGGCATCCGATCACTGTCCTTACGGAATGTGCAAGTTCTCCTCCACGGATGATATAGGTACGACATTGTCCAGGGCTGTATTGGTGTAACAGCCTCTGCCATTGTTTAGAAAATAATCTGCCTTAGAAAGAAAGGGCCTGCTAAGATGTTCAAAATGGCCACTATTGCCATGGAAGACCTCTGTGGTTGTGTTCATTTTTATGCTCATTTAGATCAACACTTTTTTGCCTGTCTGGACTCCCATTGCTGCTCTGTTACCACCCATTCACATGCGTGTCCCCCAGTGATGCAGACCAGCACTTAACAAGGTTATGTCTCCCCAAAGATCCCCCTTGGATCCTGACACTTGTGGCCATGTCAGAGAGACCTGCATTTGCCAGCATGAAGAACCCCATACTTTCTACCTAGTGCCATTGGAGATAATTCCTTATCAAAATTGGCATTGGGGCACCATGTTACCAGTGAGTGGTGAGACAGACAGTGATTTGGCTTATGAGATGATGTGAGGCTAGCAGAAAGAGGATAATCCCCGGTAGTCTTTATCAGAAGCCCTGACCAAAAGGGACTGCGACCTCACTGTGAGCTCCAGGGGAAGGGGAGCGAGGAGGATGCTGTGGGGTGGTGGCAGTCAGAGGCAAGTGGCAGCAAGTCAGCTGGTCCTGCTGTTCCAGATGGGAAGAGGGTAACTGTGCCCTGTAGAGAGCTTTGCCTGCTGCATTTGATTTGACCTGGCTAAGAAAGAGAAGGCCCTGCTGGCTCCAGCTGCATCCTGGCAGCTGCCACTCCTGCTCTTTGCTGCCAGGAGAAGCATCCTTTCCTTGGAGAGCTTGCCTAGAAATAAGTGAATCTTGACCACATGGCAAAAGCTGAGATGTCTCCATGGCTGTAGTCCTCCCTTATCCCTTGCACTGTGCCTCTTCCTCATGTTCTGGGGTAAGAGCTCCCTGGTTCTGTTCAATGAGCCCCTCATGCTGCAGCCTGCACAAGCATGTCACCTTTTGCCAAGGAACTTACCTGGCACAAGAAATAGTATCTCTGTTCCTCCTGCCCCTCCATTCCTGCACCAGAGGAAAGTAAGGCTCTTCAGTGTCCTTTTTCCAATACTAATTGAACGCTCTGTGAGGACTCACTCATGAGGGTCTCTACTCTCTCTTCAATGAGTATGTAGTCTGATTGCTATCCTATATGTTCCCAGTGCAGTGACTAGTTCTTTCCACATTCTCCTTCCTTCTTTCCCAAGTGCTGGCTGCCTGACTAGCATGTCTTGGCAACACCAGTCCTCACTCAAGCTGGTAACTCATCCTTTAGGGTCTGTAGCCAGTGCCGCCAGTGCCTCCAGGCAGGCAGGGGAAGGGGCTGGTGCTTCTTCTGGCATGGGGCTTGGTGGGTGAATATCACCCCAGGGAGTGAGAGCCCACTGGAATGGAGCATCGTCACAGAGGAGACACAAAGGTGAGGCTGCTGGATGAAGACTGAACTGCATCCCAGCCACACTGGGGTCATCCAAACCAGTCTGACCAGCACAAGATCCTGTTCTACTACATACACCAGATGCTGGGATCATCTTCATCCAAAAACCTTCTGGCAGAGCTGGGGACCCCTGAGGCAAGAGGCAAGGGTAGTCGGTCAGGCCACGCTAGTGGGTGTACTTCTTGCTGTGTCCAGCTCTCCCATGAGACCTCCACTGTCCCAGAACATGCTGTTTTAATGACTCTATTCCTGTTCTTGGGGTGGGGAGGAAAAGGTGGGGGCTCAGCAAATAATTTAACCATATCCTGCACCAAATAACTTCACATGTCAATAACACTGGCTCACCTGCATTTCCATTCTCTGTTGTATCCCTGCCCAGAGAGGCTGTTTCCCCCTGGTTCCAGCCTGCCCTGTGTGATCCCTGTCTGTCAAGAGGTTGCTGGCGTTCCTAGCCATGTCTCTTCACCTTCAAACAGGGTTCAGCACTTCTCCCTCTCCACACAATGCATCTTTAGGATTAATTTCCACTGCTGATGGGTTTGTTGACTGGACTGCTTCTGGGAGGATGCTACCTTCAGTGAGCTTGGGGTGGTATCACCATGGGGATGAGCTGGAGCTTGGGGCTGTGCTCCGGTTCTGTTTCCCCTTTGCACCATCTATAGTAGCTGTTTTCTTGGAATGTTACACAAAGCCAGGCTTCTCTCTGTACTACTTGACATTTTTTATCCTGCATCATCTCAGGAGAGATTGGGGCACTCTTCTAAGTCTGAAGAGGAAGGGAAAGGACTGCAGGCAGCCTGAGAGCCAAGAGGTTTGACCAGCTGACCCTGACACCTGTGAAGATGTCTCTCAGTCCCTGGCCATGCTGGTCCCACCACCCAATCACACAGGGTTGCCCACAGCACCATAACATCCCACACTGTGAGCACACAACCTATTGTGTGCATGTGTAAATACATATTTGTGCTGCTTGTTTCCAAAACCCCTCTTGTTCTGTTCCCAAAGAGCCTGGACTGACAATGTCAGGAAAGCCTCTGTCCCCCTGGCTTTGTTTGACCGTGCTTGTTTGGAGGAAAGATCCCTGGAGAGGAGCTCACTGCTGCTGCGTGCCCCGACACAGAGAGTGGGCCCCAGTTCTGAGCAGGGAGGACACCCTGCAGGCTCTGTTCCCCCACAGAGCCCAACCCAGCATCATCTCTGACCCTGGACAAAAGGAAGCAAGGAGCAGTGCCCATGCCTGGCTCGCTTGGAGATGGTTCTTTCTGAAGTGGTCAGGTGCCCTCCCTGCACAAACACAGGCCTAAGTCCAACACCACCAAAGTACACTAACAGCTGGAGGCAGCCCTTGCCCCAGAACAGGTTTTGGGGACTTTGCCTTTTGATACCATGGAGATGGGATTTCATGCCC